AGCAGTGAATCACTAAAAAGACTAATACGGGAGGGAAGGACTGACATTTGCGATTATTGTGAAGAACAAATTGGCAGCATTTTGCTAGAGTGCATTCCGTTTGATGGAGTTGCTATACAAATTGGTTGTCCCTCGATCTGTCACTGCGATCTCTCCAAATCCCTACCCCCTTCAAATCAGCTTTGCGAGGCTGCAGCTCACTGCTCTCCGAGTTTAAAATCCAAAGGCAGACATGTACACTTCTTGTTGGGGAAGAACAGGAACTAGTGAATCATTTGGGCTAAAATCCTCACATTAGACCGCATATCACTGTAAAATACCTCCCCCTTAGACAAGATGCACTTTAGTTGGAATGCAAGGGAGAAAGGGGAGGCGGTGAAGGATCTCCAACCTCTCTAACATTCCATTAGGTAAGTATTGCCATCCCTTGACCACAGGAGCTGGAAAAGACAAGTGAAAGAAGGAGGTTGGATGGAGATGTTGGGCTGATGATGTGATTCACTCACACACATTCTGTTTCACCGAGCTGAAATTTGTTGCTTTGCATTTCCATAATTGTTAAAACAAATCAGTTTTATAATTCAGCTCCATCAAATCGGCGGTTCGTCTGATCCTCAAACCAGTACTCGTGAACCGCGATCCTTCTCACTTAGTGGTGAGATGGTGGAAGTGGATGGTCACAGTCGATCCATGTCTCCTCCCCTATCTCAGTCAGTTCGCCGTCCCTCCTCCTCTTTTGGCAGCGACGCGTTTCTCTCACGACACCCAAATCCATCCTCGCAAGATCTGGATCATGAAATCGATCGACTTTTGGATGATCTTACCACCACCTGCCTTCAACAGGATCGCAGTAATCTCATTCGTGGCGGACCCAGTGGCACCCATCACTTCCCTCGTCGCTTTTCTACACCCTATCGACCTCGATGGGAGCGAAACGGCAGGAGCGGTGGTGGAGTAGAAGTCTCCTTGCCCGAGTTGTCCGCTTATCTGAAGATATGCAAGCCTCGTGCTTTCGGTATCAAAACCTATCGACGCTTTTATGTGGTGTTGGAGAAGACTTCCCTTCTTATGTTTAAGGTGAGTGATACACCTTCAGTTCCTTTCTCTTCATCATCTCCTCGAAGGTGAAAATAAACTTTCATTCAGCTTTAACTCCTTGCTGCTAACCTCGTCAAACTCGACTTCCAATTTTGTTTTAAATTGGTGGAAACGCGATCTACGCACTTATCTGTTGGATGCCTCGTCTGACATCTAAAAGTTCGATCTACAGACGAGACGCTCCAGTCCCTGACATGCTTATTTCAATGTTTGAATGACGCCAGAGTCTTCATTCTGCGTAGATTAAACGTCCAAACTTGGCAAAGATTTTTAGGTTGTGCCAACAGTCGTCCAACTTCTCCACGAGCAATGCAAGGTCTTCCGCGCTAGAGCGCCTTACTAAAATGGCAAAAAAAGACTTCCTACTCCCGACATTTCGGCAGTGATGGAAGCCGTTTGGATGTTGGGACGCGTTGGAGTCCACACCTTTTGTGAAGAGTAAAAAGTTCCCTTCGATTGGGAATAACAGGAGAGGAGTGTGAGGTTGGCATGACGAAGAAGTGTATGAAGACGAGAGCTCTTCTCTTTTTCCTTAACTTCTTCCACAATTCGAGGGCGTGGCCTCCAGGCCCGACGCCCAGGGGCTGCTGCTAGACG